CATATATGTTGGAATTCTCCAACAACATAATAACAAATAACAATAAAAAATTAATGAAAATGACATCCATTTGTCCCATATTCATCCTAATATTTAAGAAATATTTCCCCAGAACGTCCTAGTTTATATAAATTTAGTAAAAATAAAAAAAATAAAAAACTAGAAATCTTTTTGAATTTCTTCAAACATTTTCTGTTTTCGGGGAAAAAAAGAAGAGAAGAAGAAGTCAATCGTACCTATAATTGAGAGGATTTGAAGGCCATAAACTGAGAAAATGATGAAGAGGATGTGCATAGAGCTTAAGGAAGTCCCTCGAAAGCATCCCATTTTCATGGCATCCAACTTGAACTCTGCTAAATCTCGCTGGCTTCTGTACATCATCAGACAGAAGCTCCTCCTTCATCGCCATTGGCATGTCAAAGAACATTGAATTCACATTCAAAGCTTCTTCAATTACTGAATCGGGTATCCCATGATTGATAACCTAAATTTAAACAGAAGGAACTGTAACATATAAGAACAAAAAAGAGATTAAAATGAAATATGTGTGTGTGTGTGTGAGAGAGAGAGAGAGAGAGAGTACATGAAAGAAACCGAAGTTTCGACAAGCTTCATGGATTTGCTTGATGACAGAATCATGGTGTAGGAGAGAAAAGTCGATGATGGGCAATTTTTTAAAGGTTTGTACAGTCTCCTCCATTTACCTAGATCTTGAGCGGACAAAGATTTAGAAGTGTTCTCAACCAGATTTTAATGGATTTTATACTATTAAATTCTAATTATTTTCGTAAATTTGGATAGATTTTCACAACATTCATAAAAATCTAATTAAAAAATGGTAAAATTTGAAAATAGTTTGTTACATGTATTTTTATGTTTGAAATCCATCCAAATCTTTAAAATCTCTCTATTAACAAAATTCATAAGTTATTGAATATAATGGATTTCAATAAAATCTATTGAAATCTGGATACCTATATTTTAGTGCATTTCATTAAAATCCATAAAAATTTTAATCGGGGGCACCTGAACTTAGAAAGATTTTTAAAATTCATTAAAATCTCAGTTAGGAACCCCCCGTAAGATTTTGATGAATTATAAAAGATTATAATTTTTAATGAATTTGTGGATTTGAATGGATTTCCAGCAAATTCTATAAAAATCCCGTTAAAAATTTTGCAATTTTAAAAGATTTTGTTACATGTATTTTTAAATTTGAATTCCATCTAAATGTTTTAAAATTTATTTATTGATGAAATCCTTATGAACCCACTAATTATTGAGGATATCTAAATCTCAATTCGGACACATAAATTTTAATGGACTTCATTAAAATATCGATTAAGACACATAAATTTTAATGGTTTTCATATAAATCCATTAAAATCTTGATTGGAGACATGTAAATTTAAAAGGAAAATCCATTAAAATCGTAATTGAGGACAGCCCTTGATCTTTCAATACTAAGTGCGTGTGTTTACTTTGTTTTCTTCACCAGTGAGTTCTACACGTACTAAGATTTGTCGGTTTATAATTGGGTTTGTAGTTCAACCATTGACAATCACTAGACCAAGGGCTGTTTTGGTAGATTAACTCCTGTTAACTATATTAGATGCATGTTTGAGTCCTTTTTTTTTGCCCAAAATGTGTTTTGAAATAGCATTTTATTGGAGAATGTGTGATTAAAAAATAAGAAAGAAATTTGAATTTGCGTGTAATATTATTTTGTTGGAAAATGTGTGATTCAAAATAAGAGAGAAAAACGTATTTTGGAAATAATAAATACCAAACAAGAGCTAAATTTATTTTTATCAAATAAAAACAGCGATAGTAATTGTTCAATCTTTACCCCGAAACTCAAAGATATCCGTTTTTTCTTACATATTTTGATCTTAATCATGATAGCACGAGGAAAAATACAATTTACTGTAAAGGGAATGTCAAACAAACCCATGAGGCAAGCTTTAAATCCTAAATAAAATATGAAAAATTTTCAATTAGCAAGGATCCACAAGGTTAATGAATTTATATTAGCGGAGCTTTTCAGTTTGTTCTCAATGATTCAAGGAGCGAAAGGGCTCAGAAACACTTATGAGAACATTCGGCTAAACTAAGCCATTTCAATCTTTCCCATATAAATGACAATTATTGTTCTATAAAATTAGAGCTCAAGGCACCCAACCAACATATTTTTAGGTTGGTTACAAAAATTTCTCAATTCGATATATAGAAAGGTATAAAAGGTATCTCATGGAGGAGGGGGCCATTGCGAGGTGGGCAATTTGTTTAGAACAGATGCCTCCTAAAAAGTAATGGTGTGGCCAAGGGCATACATATATAAGAGGGATTGGACAGGGCTATAGTCCCGAACCATTTAAGTGGAAATTACACAATTTTCTATTTTTCAAGATCTATATTCTAAAATC